TTCTTCATCTAGATCCATTCAGGTGCAAAACACCATGACAGATACCAGCAACTCAGTAGAGCATGTGGCTTATAAACAACAGAAATTATCTCCCACATTTCTGGAGGCTAGAAATTTAAGATGAAGATGCTAGAAGATTCAGTATCAGGTGAAGACTGCTTTCCACAGACAGCATTTTCTCCCTATGTCCCCACTTTGTCAAAGGGGTAAGGCTAGTCTCTGGGTTCTCTTTTTTTGGTCCTTTTGAGACAGGTCTCCCTGTAGCCCCAGCTGTCCTGGAACTCACTATGTAGACCAGGCTGGCCTTGACCTCACAGAGATCTGCCTGCCTGTGCCTCCCAAGGGCTGGGATTAAAGGGGTGCACCACCACACCTGGCTGGGTTTTCTTTTATTGGGCCACCCACCTATACTACTTATGAAGACTTTGCCCTCATGACCTAATCATCTCCCCAAAGACCTCACTTCCTAATACCATTCATTATCTTGTGTGAGGATTTCAACACATGAATTTGTTTAAATGCTTTGTTAGCATAAATTAATTATACATAATAATGAGTTTTGTTATGACACCTTCATATATGTATATAACATTTTGATCTTATTCATCCCCATTACTCTCTCCTACCCCCTTTGTCTTCCCAACTAGCCTCCATCTACTTCCATGTCTTTTTGTGCAGGTGACCCAATGCATTTCATTAGGGTTGTTTGTAGGAGCATGAGAGTTTCTTCACAGGAGCATGGTCACTTTACCAGTGGCTATGATAGTGAAGAAAATGTCTCTCCCTCCCCTCTCAACCCTTAACTGTATCTAAATCCTGAGGGAGGAGTGGGGTCTCAGTGAGCCCCTCCCACTTCCATGACAGAGTATTGACAGGCCCAATATTGCAACACATGAATTTTTTAACATATATTTTTAATTGAATTTTTGTGTCTTTCATACACAGCATCTTGGTCCTCTTTATATCCCCTTCCCCATCAGCACCCTCTCATAGCCTCCGCCCCCTCTCTGGATTTCATGCATTCTATCATTCATGTTTAAGTCAAGTTATTGAGTCAAGTTAGTGTCCCCTAATGTCCCTCAGTACAAGTTCATTTAGTGGGGTGTAATCAGCCTATCTAGAGTCCCTCCCTTTAAGAAGATCAGCTTCTTCCTCACCCAGTAGTAATCAGCTGCTCAATAGTTCTTCAGCTATGATTGGGCCTGATGCTCATTTCCACAGTTCTGTGCTGGGATTTCATCTGCTCTAGTTTTCATGGGTCTTGTGCATGCTGTCACCATTGCTGTAAGCTCATATGAGCAAGGTCCCAGGGGAATGTAAGGCTCTATTTCCATATGTTCATGCACCTCCTTCCCTGGCTCTTACACTCTTTCTGCCCCCTCTTCTACAATGGTCCCTGAGCCCTAGGTTCATTGTTCTCTGATGCATGAGGGAGCTTCATTCATGAGAGCTGAGAGATGCATTAGTATTCTCTCTACTCCTTGTTCCACTATAAGTCTTAGGTATAGAGGTTCCATTGTTGATGTGTCACTGAGGTGCTTTGAATGAAAATGTCTCCCATAGGCTCCAAGTATTTGGACATTTTGTCCTCAGCTGGTGGCACTGTTTGGGGAGGTTTTAGAAGGTCTGGCTATTCTGGAGGAAGTACATCACTGGGGGTGGGCTTAGAGAGCTCTTAAGCCTTGCCAGATCTTGAATTGCTCTCTTGCTTCCTGTGCCTGCATGATGATGTGAGAGCTTAACTTCTGCTGCTCCTGCTCCAGCCACCTCCAGCTACCATGCTTCCCTGCCATGACGGATTGTAATTCCCCTGGAACCATAAGATCAGATAAACTCTTCCTTTTATAAGTTTTTTTGGTCAGTATTTCTATTACAGAAACAGAAAAGCAACCGATACAGTAATTGGTACCAGGAGTGGGGTGTTGACTGTGAAGAACCTCACCATGTGGGGTTTTGGAAGAATGTGGAAGACTTTGGAAGTTTGGGCTAGAAAAGCAGTTGATTGCTGTAAGCAGAGCTTAACAGGCCAGTCTAGTAGATGCCTGGAAGAAAGTAGAGCTGAGAACAATGTAGTTCCAGTGGGAAATAAGGACTTAAGCAGCAATTGGACTATTTTGGCAAAGAGTCTGGCTGGAGTCTGCCCACAGCCAAAAAGCTTGCCTGAGGCTAAGTTGAAGAGCAATGGACTAATTTCTCTAGTGGAAGAAATTTCAAGACAGCATAACATAGAAATGGTGGCATGGCTATTAATGGTCAATATTATACAGATTTACAGTGAAAAAGAGCAAATGGGGCAGTAAGAAACACAGAATATACAGGATGGATTGAAAAAGAGCACTAGAAAGATTAATGTTGGAACCTTGGCATGTGCTGGAGAGGATCCCATTGATAAGGAGATTAAAGTGATTAAGGAGATTAAAGTGATTAAGGAGGGGCCTAGAGCTTCATACTTAAACAATGGAGAGAGTGCCTCCAGGGCAGGACCACACCCAGTGAATCCTCCAACTTGTGAAAGGAAAATGCTGAAGCGACCACTGAAGTAAAAAGACTTCTAAAATGGATAAAGCAGGCTGGAGTCCATCAAAAGCTTACAGTCAAACTTGGCAGTGTTGTTCACCTAGTACTGGCTTTACAGGCACGAAAGATGCAAGAATGAAGGGGTCATCAGTTTTTCCTCCACTGTTTCAGGGAGCTGCTGAGGCCAGGCAGCATGCAGCAGAGGTATCCCTGCATAAAAAAGGATCCTGATAGGCCATTGAGTGAAGCTGTGGAGGTGAAGCCTCATTGGCAATGGAGACCCCAAGAAGACGTTCGTGATACCAGAGCTGTGAGGCATATGCCAAGAAGACCTGCATACAGGGAGTGGTACCAGCCCGAGAGAGAGAGAGAGATGTGTGTTGCAAGCAGCAAAGCTAGAGAGGCTGAGCCATCTAAGCCCTTTGGAAGTAAAGTCCTAGAAGTTGGATGTGAAGCTACTGGATTTGGTGTTTGCCCTGCTGGTTTTCAGTCTTGTTTTGGTCTGGCATTTCCTCACTCTGCCTCTATTCCTCCCTTTTGGAATGGTAATGTGTATTCGATTCCACTGTATGTTGGGAATATGTAATTTGCCTTTTGATTTTATAGGGGCTTACAGTTAAGATATTTACCTGAGTCTCAAAATAGACTTTGGACTATGGACTTTTGAATAGTATTGAGACTGGTAAAGACTATGGGGACTTTGAAGGTTGGTCATGAACCTATGGGGGCCAGGGGGTGGAATGTGGTGATTTGAATGAAAATGTCCCCCATAGGCTTCAAGTATTTGGACATTTTGTCCCCAGATTGTGGTGCTGTTTTGGGAGGTCTTAGAAGGTGTGGCTATCCTGGAGGAAGCACATCGCTGGGGGCAGGCTTAAAGATTTCTTAAGCCTTACCAGATTTCCAGTCATTCTCTTGCCTCCTGTGCCTGCTTGTTGATGTAAGAGCTTAACTTGTGCTGCTCCTGCTCCAGCCACGTCCAGCCACCATCCCTCCCTGCCATGACACACTGTAATTCCCCTGGAGCCACAAGCTCAGATAAATTCTTTCTTTTATAAGTTGTTTTGATCAGTGTTTTTATCACAGCAACAGAAAAGTGACTAAATAAAGTTAATGAGGGTTGGGTATTTCACAGACAATCTCTGTGTGTGATCAGTTGTGGAACTCTGTAATAGTATATATCTATTTCAAAAGAATCTTCTTTGATGAGTGGTGACTGGCATACTTCTCTGTAAATATAAGGATCCATATTTAGCATGTAGTAAGAGATGACATTATTCTATGGATATAATAGCCTGGGGTTTTTTTCTAAGATCTATGACCTCTCTAGCCACACATGAGTTCCCTCCCATTGAGTGGACCCATTTAGGTCCAATTAGGTAGCTGTTGATTACTAAGATACAAGTGCGACTAATGCCCTAATATAGTTTGCTGTGCTAGTCATTGTTGTGGTTATTACGCCTTAAAGCAGTGGTTGGACCATCGATTGATGTTCTCCCTTAGCAACTTGCATGGTGTTCTGTAAACTATGAGAGGTAGCCTTAAGGGAAGACAACACATGAATTCTAAGGGATACAAATTTCTGATCATGGCATCCCCAAATTCACAGAACCCAAAGAACCCAGAGAAGCATGCAGTGCAGTGTATGCTCCTTTAGATTCCTTATATCAGGCTGAGGATGTAGCTCAGTTGGCAGCGTGCTTGACTGCAATTCATGAAGCCTATTACCTTAGTGTGAGGTTCCCATAAAATATTTTCTCATTAAATAAGTGTTTATTTAGAATTTAATGGTCATATTATTTTTCATGAAACTCAACCAAGTCCAGGGAGCATCTCATTTCCCTTTGAGTTTATGTGTTGGTAAACTATCTTTTGTTGATGTCATGAATGAATCTTCTATTTTATTTGGTAATTACATGAGAAACTGAAATTTTGTATTGATCTTCATATTAATTATCTTGTTAGATTGTGATACTGTTCTAACTTTCAAATGATTTTATATAGTCATATTATCTTTAAAGAATAAAATTTATCTCCTTCTAGATGTATTTCTGTCTCTTTTTTTGTACCTTTTATATGATTCCATATATGAAGATCAAAAAACACACAAA